ACCTCACCCCGGCCCGGACACGGAGCCGGGGGGCAGACGAGTGGGGCTGGCGCCCAGGAGCTGGCCACGGAGCCTGATCGCCAGAGCCGGACCCTGGCCACGGGGCTTTGGGCTGGGTCGCAGGGAGGCCCTGGGGGTGGTGTGTGTGGGGCCGGGCGCCCTCCAGCCCCACTGACTTCCCTGGGCGCAGCCCGCTGCCCCCGGGCCTGGGGCCCACAAGGAGGCAGCCCCAGCACGGGAGTCCCTGACCCAGCCCCAGGCGAGCCGAAAGCCGCTCACCCAGCCGCACCATGGGGAAGATGCTGCCCGCGCAAGAAGCAGCCCGGATCTACCACACCAACTACGTGCGCAACGCGCGGGCCATGGGGGTGCTGTGGGCCCTCTTCACCCTCTGCTTCGCCATCATCATGGTGGTGAGCTTCATCCAGCCCTACTGGATCGGGGACAGCATCGACACCCCGCAAGCCGGCTACTTCGGCCTCTTCTCCTACTGCATTGGCAACGCCCTGACCGGCGAGCTCATCTGCAAGGGCAGCCCCCTGGACTTCGGCACCATCCCCTCCAGCGCCTTCAAAACAGCCATGTTCTTCGTGGGCATCTCCACCTTCCTCATCATCGGCTGCATCCTCTGCTTCAGCATGTTCTTCTTCTGCAACTCGGCCACGGTCTACAAAGTCTGTGCCTGGATGCAGCTGGCAGCAGGTGAGTAGCTCCTGGAGTCCCAGGGGGTATATCCAGTCCAGGGCAGAAATGCACCCAGGGTGTAGAAGCAGTTCATTCCTTTTTGTCTCATAGGGGTATCCATGTTAATCTGGGTCTGCAAAAACCAGGAATCCTGGGGCACCTCAAAGACTAGCATTTATTTGGGCATACGCTTTCATGGGTAAAACCCTCTTCATCAGATGCATTGGAGTGGAAGTCCAGAGGCAGGGAGCTAAATGCACACAACTATATCAAAAGCGTAGGACCAAGGTTAATGAGGCCAATGCAGCCAGAATGGATGTGGCTCACTCCCAGCAGCCCATAATAGGCATCATGGAAACTTGGTGGAATGTGGACAATCAATGGGACACAGTCACACCAGGGTACAAAATATATCAGAAGGACAGAACGGGTCGTGCTGGTGGGGGAGTGGCACTATACATGAAAGAAAATGTAGAATCAAATGAAGTAAAAATCTGAAATCAGCCAAAATGTTCCATAGAATCTCTATGGATAGAAATTCCATGCGCCAATAATAAGAATATAGCAGAAGGGATATATTATCAACCACCTGATCAGGACAGTGATAGTGACTATGAAATGCTAAGGGAGATTAGAGAGGCTATCAAAATAAAAAACTCAGTAGTAGTGGGGGATTTCAGCTATCCCCATAGTGAATAGAATCAGTGTAATGGCATTGAGCAAGAGGGTTTTCCTTGCGCAAGAAGGGGCATTGTAGATGCTCCTTCTAGCACAAACCTCTTCCGCAAAAATGGCAGCTCATTAGGTATGCAAATGAGGCTTGGCGATATTCCATGCTTAGCCTCATTTGCATACTTCTGGCGCAACAACCCACCAGTGTAGACATAGCCCTAGAAACTCAGTTGGAGGCGCAATTCTGTTCTTGAGGGAAAAATTCCCTCCCAGCTCCTATGGCAGTCACCTGGTGCTCTGAGGTACGGGGTTGGATTACCATGCAGTAATGCAGCATTTTTGGGCATGAGATTATCCACGGAGTGAACCCAGGGGGAGTGACCACAGGCCAAGCAATGCCAGGGCTGATAGCAGGTAACTGTGAGCAGGCTAACATGGAGAAGCAATTTACGGCCTCTGTTGGGTGTTGCTTGCTTTGTTTACGCAGCACCTCACAAAGTAGGGCAGGTATCTTGTTGGTGCACTCGGGCCAGAGATGGATAATGACTTTCCAGGCTACCCGACCCATTCAGCTTAGCCTGAGTCTTACCGGGTGGAATTACAGCTGCCAGCACAGCTAGTTCTCCGAGCAAGGTGAAGGCTGTGTGCTTTCCCTGTCGCCGCGAGAAGCTGCTGAAATCCAATCCAATCCTCAGCCTCCTGAAATATTGATGTCAAAGAGGCAGGTAGCCTCCTGTTACACTCCCTCCTGGCTCAGCGGGCCTTGCTGGTGGTGAAAATGCCATGGCAACAGAGAGCGTTACTGGTGGAAAGGCCGGGCAGGCAATGGAAACTGCAGCAGGGCTGAGATTATCAGTTAATTCTCACTGGCCTTCAGGAAACCAACTCAAAGATTAAGATAAGAGGCTTGGAAGCAGGTCAAAAGTCCAAGGAACCGGAACAACCAAAAGTGCGTTGCCCCAGAGGGCTGGTGTAGCAATTGCGAGATGGGAAGCTGTTGTTCAAAGAGAATGAGCACAATGGGAAGGCACTAGTCTTACCCCCTCTCCCCACCTTCACAGGCTGGCGGACGTCTCCCGTGAAAATGGTGACATTCCTGTGTCCATGTGGGCACACAACATGCTCCCTCCTGCTAAGAGCCAGCAGCACAGGCAGCCTCTATCTCAGGGGTCAAACTCACAGCCTGGGGGCTTTCTATGACCTGAGCCGTTCCACAGACCAGCCCTCGTGTGGCTACCGGCACAAGTCCCTGTGGCCGTGGGGTGGAGGTGTCTGCACCTTCCCCCCCAACCAGCCTTTGCTCTGCCCTCTCCTGGCAGTGCACCCCTTCGCTCGAGGCCCCTTCCCCTGGAATGCAGCATCAGGGTTGCTGGGGGGCCTGATGCAGGATGGCAGCAGGACTTGGGCTCCCCCGTGCTCACTGCGGCGGCAGGAGCTGCAGGGAAGCAGGGCGACGCAGCAGCCTTTGCTCTGCTCCACTGCCCTGTCCCAGCTGGGTCACTGCTTTGCTAAACTCTGCTAAATTGACGGGGCGGCAGGCAGGGCCGGGCACACCCGGGAGGGGGAGCAGGTGAGGCCGGGAGACACGTGGGGATACCCCATTGGAAGGTGCCCACTGGCTCAGGGGGAGGATTTGAGGATTGGCCCTGGCCCTAAGGTACATCGAGTGGGAGTCCCCGGGAGACTCACTGTGACAACAGCAGAGTGGCTGGTCCCTAGGGCATGAGGGGAATTAGCAGAAACATGTGCGGAGTCTGCACGCGTGCACAGCTCCCTAGCCCTCGGAGGCCAGGCTCAGGCCAAGGCTGCTAGGCTTGCACTGAGGCCAGAATTCAGGCTAGCGGCTGTTTGGTGGGGAGGGATCAGATGCTGAAGGGACAAGCAGCCCCATCAGCAAATGAGCAACTCTCCCTCAGGAGACTTCTGAGTGCAAAAGTTAGGGGCAGGTGGGGCTCTGCGAGTTTCCAGCCCTGCCCTGACAGGCATGATGTGCTGGTGTGAAACCCCTCGCACGCTGGAAACAGAGAGGTAGTGCGAGGGCTGGGGGTGCTGGGTGCTGCTGCAGGAGCCCCGGAGGCAGCGCCAGGTCTGAGATCCTTCCGCACCGTGACCAAGTCACTCAGTCTCTGGGAGAAACGGCTGCATCTTGCACTGGGGGCGTGAGCAAGCCCTGCCTCAGAAGGCATCCAGGAGGAACAATGCGGCACACAGCAAGGAGCCTGCTTTTCTAAAGGAAGCAGCAAAGTCTTGGCCCCCTCTCACCATCTCTTGCCCCTGGAGGCAAACAGATTGGAGAGGGAGGGTGAAGAGCTCTGCTGCGTTCCGATGACACTTGGTTTTTAGAGGGAAACGTGGCAGGGACGCTCAATCTGCTTAGGAAAATAAAGCATTCACCCGATCAGGGTGCAGGAGGTCTGGGTTTGACTAACAGCCAGCCTCCTTCCTCCTACACACCATCGAAGAGGAAACGTGGAGGCCCAACGCTGTTACCTTTCCCTCCCAGTGAATGTCCACCCATTAGACAACAGCCAGCCTCCTTCCTCCTACACGCCATCGAAGAGGAAAGGTGGAGGCCCAATGCTGTTACCTTCCCCTCCCAGTGAATGTCCACCCATTAGACAGAGGACAGTCAGCTGGGAGGCCTTTGCTTTCAGCTCCCTGCAAGAGGGGCCGGCACACTCGTGCACTGGAGCTGGTGGCTTTGATGGATCATTTGGGGATGGACGTTGGACATCCCATGGTGAAGAAAGGGTTTTAGGCTGGGACTGAGCGGCTGCTAGCGAATGAGCAGCACAGCCTGCCCCAGAGAGGTCCTGCCACCACAGGGAGTCTGGCTCAAACCCACCAACAGATTTCCTGCCGCGGGGATCTCTAGCCAGACGCACACCAAACTCATACATGCGCAAGAAGGGCGGAGCTACAAGGAAGCCATAATAATTGTCCAATCCAACTCTCACCACCACCCTCTGGCCTGGGTAGAACTGGTCTTGAGAGTCTGTACCTTTAGGGCTTTGCCCAGTCTAGTTTTAAATATAGCAAACCATGCAGCTTCCTCCAATCCCATGGCAAACTAGTCTACAGCCTCAAAGACTCACATATCCCTTGGTTCCTTGCAACCAGACAACGAGACAATCCCCCTGATGAGATTGCAGCTGAAGCAGGCAAGGGAGCATGACTATGCCCATTTTACAGGTAGCAAACTGAGGCCCACAGAGAAAAGGATTTTCAAAAGAGGTGAGTGGCACTGGGTGCCCAACATGAGACACTTCTAAGGGGTTGGGTTGCTAGAGGACGGGTGGCTTCATGCTTACTGAAAACCAGGGTTCTTCCCGCTGTCTCAGGTTAGGCGCACACAAGCACATAGCACTTCTGAAAATCTTTGCCTCAGTGATTTGCCCAGGGCAAGCAGGCAGGCTGTGGCAGTTTGGGAAAGGAATCAATATTGTCTAAGTGATTTAACCACACAGCCATCCTTCCACTCCTAACAGCTCGTGCTGTCAGCTCTCCTGCCTCCAAACCACCCCAGTCTTCCCCCAGCCTCTGCTTTCTCTGCCACCTAAGTCACAAGCAGGTCTGACGTGCAGCTCCAACAGTAGCTGGCCTGATCCGCTCCGGAGGCATTGCTGGCCCATCTTATGTCAGGTGCTCTCCAGCCCTGTAGCAGACAAAGGCAGATGGTGTTAGCACCATGGACAGAGCCTGGCGCTTCTCAGATTTCCCTGTCCCATGGCAAAGCTGGGAGGGAGGGAGAGCAAGGGCTCCAGTGGCAGCTGGTGGGCTGGGAGGCAGGGTTGCCTAGTGGTGAAAGCAAAGACTCAGGTGATCTGGGCTCCATTCTGGGATTGTCACAAACTCTAAGTGATTTGTTGTGACCCTTGGGGTTCAATCCCGGCTAGTAAGGGCTTGTGTCACCACCTGCCATGCAACTCTGGGTGCCTTAAGTGGTATCGCTGTGGCTCTCTGCCCTGACAACAGCCAGCCAGCGAGCATGGTCATAGCCTGGCTTTTCCGGGTGACTCCCAAATCTCCGCAAACCATCTGCCCTGCAGTGCACCACCCTCTCCTGGAACATTCCCAGAAGTGAAGTTTAAAGAGACAGTACACAGCAGCTCGTTAAGCTAGTGGGTTTGACAGTGGCTCATTGGAGTCACAGCTCTGTGCTGTTATTACGAAACGTCAAGTCCACCAGGCGTGGAATGAGGCGAGGTATCAGGAATAAAGACACAAATGGCAACGAGCAAACAAAAGTAAAAAAGTGCTTCTAACACAAACTGAATTTCAGCAAGTTACAGTCTTTGCCCAAACACATTCCTCACCTGTACTGTCCTCACAGACATCAGCTCTGT